AAATTATAAAGAAAAGAAATTTATTTCTTACAGTTACGGAGGCTGAGGAGACCCAGATCAAGGGGCGGCATGTGGCGAGGGCCTTCTTGCTGGTGGGGCCTCTGCGGAGTCCCGAGGTGGCGCAGGGCAGCGCCTGGCAAGGGGGCCAAGCGTGCTAGCTCAGGTCTCTCTTCCTATTCTTACAAAGCCACCAGCTCCACTCCTGTGATAACCCATTAACCCATTAATCCATGAATGGATTAATCCATTAATGAGGCCAGAACCCTCATGACGTAATCACCTCTTAAAGGTTCTACCTCTCAATACGGCCACCTCGGGGATTCAGTTTCAATATGAGTTTTAGAGGGGACATTCAAACCACAGCAAGGTTTTTGTGGATATGGTCAAATTCGTGCTGGTGGTATTTGAAAGGCTGATGTTTGGGTGACGCTGGTCACCTTGATTCAGTTGGGCCAACATTGGGAGTACCTGCCTGCGATGAGCCGGGGACCGTCCAGGTGTTTGAGAGCAGATGCTGGTGAAGTGTGTTTGGGGGTCCTTCTTGCCACTCCTGGTGCAGAGCTCTGCTTAAATATGCACCGTGCACAAGGCGCGTGGGGGCCACTAACGCTCGTCCTTTCCTGGCCCTTGCAGATATCGATGAGTGCCGGACCATCCCCGAGGCCTGCCGAGGAGACATGATGTGTGTTAACCAGAATGGCGGGTATTTATGCATCCCCCGAACAAACCCAGTGTACCGAGGGCCCTACTCGAACCCTTATTCGAACGCCTACTCAGGGCCATACCCAGCGGCTGCTCCACCACTGTCAGCTCCAAACTACCCCACGATCTCGAGGCCTCTCATATGCCGCTTTGGATACCAGATGGATGAAAGCAACCAGTGTGTGGGTGAGTGGCCCAGCCTTTTCCTCCTCCCCTCATGCTTGGCGAAGGCCTCGTCTGAATCCAGCATGTCCACCCCAAATGGGTTGTTAGCTACCAGTCAATGCACCAGTGAAACAGTGACTCACTTTCTACATTCTCTCTCGCACTCTGTCTCTCTCTCACTCATCTATAGATATGAAAACAAGCTCATGCTTTCTCAACTAAATAACGAATGCATCTGGTCAGACTTAGTAAGTGAATCCCAGAGAGAGAATCTAGAAGGGGCCCAAGCTCTGTATTTAGCACCCCTCACCCTTGAAAGGAACGTGTGTTCCTGCAATAGATGAAGCCTTGGGGGCCAAGGCCCACTGTTCTGGAAAGAGAGTAGGTTACTTGGGTGAGAACTCATGTTCTTTTGGCCAAAAGGAGCCTGTCTGATGGGCACACACAGCAAGGGTAGAACTCTGGGAAGAAGCAGACGTGGGACATCATGAGCCACGAAGGGGCTGGCAAGGGGTATGACAGTGTCCTAGAGAGCTTTGGGTTCTGTCGGCCAGTGTGGCCTTGGAGGAGCATTACCTGGATCCTCCCGGGTCCCTTTGGCTGTGGTCACGCCAAAACCTTGTAAGTGTCTCCAGCTTTGGCAGATGGTCTAAAGGCTCCAAGCTTTTTTGATTGTGTACCCCATCTGCAAAACCTTTTGAGCCTGGACTTCCATTATATGGATATTTATAAATTACATACATACCTTGTCATACTAATGGTTTGAGGAGCATAGAGGTCATGTAAGAAATAGGAAATTTAAAAGGATGTGATCAAAATAAAAATGAATTGAAGTTCTAATATTTCCTTCCTATACCCCAAAGGTTTTGGAGACCATTAGTCTACATAGTGAGATTTTTGCTGGTTCCATTTCAGGGGTCTGGAGTGTTGAGCTGTAACCAACTCTAAAAGAGGCTGGGCTGGTTATATTACACTACTTTCT